GCAACAAGCAAAACACCTGCCCTCGGAATAAAGAATAATACAACGTTCATTGTACTAGTTACTAGAACGATGCACAGAGTAAGTTTTCGGTTTTTAAAATCATTCTGACATAATTCATTTTTAAATTTAACATTTCATTTAATTGAATATTTTTGATCTGATACGTATACTCTTTTAATTTACATAATATTTTATTAACATAATATTTTTAATTTATAATATTTTATTTTCACATTTTTACGTGTTTTGCTCATCTCATTGATTCGATACTTACGTTTTGTTCTAAAAGTATTTTTACAATTAAATAAAGTTTTCTATTTAATTTACATCGTGTAGGGGAATTCTTGATATGCATATGAGTGTGCTAAATTTGTGGAATTAAATAGATACATTTAATATCATTTCTACTTCTGATTTGCATATGCATAGCAAGGACGAGCAGTTTGAACGGTTGGAAGGAGAGTGAAATAGGCTAACTCCCCCTGAAGAGTCGGTATTATTCCGTTACTTTTTCATCGTTCATTTTTAAGTAATTTCCTTTATATGGCTCTAATTATCATTAACAATTTTTGTCCCAATTTTATGTATATCTACTACTATTGGCCATTGCTAATAAAGCAATTTTTCCATGCCGATTTAACTTTTACTATTTAATAGTACTTGTAAAAAAATTTCTTAAATTTTTTAAAACTTGAAAAAAAATTAAATATTACTTTAAAATTACGAATTTGTACATTGGAATTTATTTAGACTTCAAATTGTTATTCTTTTACTTTATTAGCTTTCTTAATTTAACTTGAAATATAAGAATTTTAAAAGGAGAATTCCCCGTTATATTTACTCGTATGTATAGATGTGTGTGTGCATGTGCAGTGATGGTGTTGAACATATTCATGACGTAGATACTGATTCATAATGAATAGCAAATAGGTAGCCGACGCAAATTAAATATTAATTTTTACACTTAACACTTGTCATGCCTGATTCAAAACATTTACATTGTTTACAACTTTGCGGAAGAAGGGTAAAAGCATTATAACTACGCAGAAAGCAAGTGCGCATTTATCCGATACGGCAGCTTAATAAAAGAAAGGTTTAGGTTCAGGGCATTTTATGTTCCGAAATGAGCTATGCCATCATCGTCATGAAAAGTCATGGATTAATTTAGAAATAACGCAATCCAGGAAAGTTATTAATTATTTTTAGGGCAGAGATAAATTCCTGGAGTGTTCCAGTTTGGAATATTCAACGCATAGTCTTGAGAAATATTTTATGACTTCCCAGACATATTCGTAGAATGTTCCAATTTGGAATATTCATATAAGGCATATAATGTTCCAAGTTAGAATATTCCATAGACAGAACGTTCCAGACTGGAATATAATATTACAAGCATATTCAGGGGAAATATTTTACAATTTTAAAGACATATTCGTTGAATGCTCCACTTTGAAATATTGCAATGTATTTAAAAAAAAAAATATGCCTGATGTATTGCATGTGTACTTCTCAGAAATAGTTTTCTATACTGTAAAAAGAATCTTTGGAATATTCTTAAACAATGCATCAAGGTTGTTATGAAGAAAAAAGAATGGGTTGTTATGAAGATGTGAAAGAATGTGATGAATTCTTACAAAGAAGCCCAAAAGAAAGCTTTAAGTATTCACAAGGTCACAGATTTGCTTTCTATTTATAACCTAAATTTCTAGGACATTCCAAGAATATCGTGAGAATATCTCTTGAATATTTCGGACAGTATTCCTGGCATATGAAAACAGACTGGCATTGGGATATTCCGCGTATATTCTGATATATAATTCGAAGATAATGAAATTTTCTTGAAATATTCTCATATCCTGCCTGGATATCTCGGGAATAGCCCTGTACTGTGTGAAACATTATCAAGTATAAATTTTAAAAGATATATTTGAAATCAATGTAGACATATGCGAGAACTGCCACAAACGAGTATGACATGCACATCCCCTACGGTATTTGATTCACTTTCTACATCTATGTCGTTTCCTATTCCATCTCAGAAATTTTCTTTTGAAAAAGGAAAATAGGAACAAACTGTCAAATATTATTTTGGGACAGTGAATGTTTTTCATAGAAACAGAGTTTTCACCAGGAAAACAGAGTTTCTGGCAACCCAATTCAGCCAATAAAAGCAAACCCCATCTGCACACGGCAACATATTTCCAAACAAGTTTCTCTCCCGACGTCAGCACCAATCTTTCTATATAGGGAAACATATCGAGCAAATCGGGAAACATGAGTTGCTGACGTCTTAATTGTTGTAGTTAGTTGTTGTTGTCTTGTCCGAGGAGTCAGTGCAGAGGATAAATATAGGACCGAAAGTATCCAAAACAGCCGCAACAGCATCAATAATCTTCGAAAAATAGAAGAATTGGTGCGAGGGAGTCATATCTATACCGAGGAGTTTCGTCAAAATAGCAGGATAGTCGAAGAGATGGTCTGGAAAAAGTTGGACATCAGTACAGCGAGGACAGCTATTATAATTTCGCTGGCCATCAGAGGATATCTTCATTCCTTTAAAGTGTTTTGTTCTCAGTCTGGCTAGGGTAGTGGAAATGACACGGTTACAGTTTAGGGCAGGAATGGAGTTCTTCTTGTTGACTGGGAGATAAGTCTTCGGCTGGCTATTGCATCAGCATCGGTAAGGGCTAAGCTGTGGGAAAGTTGAGAACTATTTCGGGCGTCTTTGGCAAGGCCATCAGCCTGCTCATTTCCATAAATATCAACATCCGCTATAATGTGCAGGTCCTTTGGGCTGCAGTAGTTTTGTTTATGAGCATGACAATGTAAGTTGAGAGTTGCCCCTTAGAATGGCTTGGAGCGCAGGTTTAGAATCAGAGAATAATAAAAGGCCACTGGAGTTCTGGATTGCCTTGGAAAGGTAGATATCTAAACCTTTTTGATGGCCACAAGCTTGCAGGTATAATTTTAGACAATTTGAATTGGCAGCATCCAACGAATTCCAGTTTGCAAATCAAGAGCTATATAGGCGCGCTTAATTTCATTTTGCATTACATTTGTTTTATTATTTTCTTCTTGTATTTCAGTATATTTATGATAATAAATCTAGTGATATATCACTGATTAACTTAGCTTGTTAAGTAATTAAACTTAGCTTGTTAACGACTGCAAGTTTCTCGTCATCATATGAATCCAAATCGATACGCTGATGTTCCTGATTTACAGATGAGTAGAAGATATAGAGAAGAATATCTGAATACAAAGATGTAGCATCACTACACAAACAAGTTTACATTAACAACTGATTTTCACAGAAATTTATGTTTGCCGATGCTCGGAAGTCAATTTACGCTCTTTTATCTCTGTCATTCACTTAATACTCAAAGCAACTCTCCAGCTAAATTCCCCTGTGTAAATAAACTAGTTTACCAGGGGCGCAGTCGAACAACTTTTTCGCTTTTTGTAGACGGGGCTATAATGATAAAGCGATATTATGAACAGAAGTAAAGCAATTTAACCGTTTTCCTCCGTAACCAAGTAGTCGTCCAGATCTTTATAGTGGTTAGTGCTTCTGGCTACTGCGTAGAGACATTAGGTATTTTTGAAGCAGGAGTACATGAAAAATGAGCAATGTCCTCGCCGAAACTCGAACCTGGACCTCTCGAATATGCGCCGAGCGTGCTACCGTTACACCACGAAGGCATACAGAAAGGAGGGAGAAAATACCTTATATTTGCCTCCTTTTAAAGGGCGACTGGATATTATGGGACCCAAATCGCTAAATCTTGATGGTGAAGAATCATCATCCACTACCTTTCAGTTCGGGCGCCACTGTATGTCATTAGGTTATTTACTAAACTCATTAGATTATTTTGAAACATTAGGCTATTTTGAAGCAGGATGACGTGAAAAATGTGGAATGCCCTCTCCGGGACTCCAACCTGGGCCTCTCGAATACGTTCCGAGTATGCTATCGTTACACCACGAAGGCATTGAGAGAGGATGGAGAAAATACCATATAATTATATCGCTGAGCTTGAGTTCGAATACCGAAGAAGGCATGGTATTCATATGCTGATTGTAAGCGCGTTGAGTGCATGCGGGGCACGCATATAAATACACAGTGGCAGAAAATGCCCTTGAGTTTTTTTGGCGTTACGGAAGAAGTGGTGGGAGACCTTTGTTCGTCCTCAGGGGGCTTTATATCAAAATTGGGGAGTAGCTTAACATATATTGCTGGGAAACTCCACACGTACCGTCACTCCTGAAATTCTGGTGTCCCGTCCCGCTAATACTCGTATCAAAACCAATAATACAATGTTAATTTTGATATTTTTTCATATTTATCATTCATATGATAATTTAGCAGTTTTACATTGAATTCATCTATTGTTATAATAAAAGGAAAATACCATAAATTTCCTAAAGCTAACAAAAATAAAATTTAATATTTTTCTTCACATCGATTCCCTTGGATTTGTTGGACTGCCACCCTAAACACAGGCAGCAGAGCGAGTATTAACAAAATAAAACATGCTATTTTATTCGCCCGCCTTGTTGTGAGCTGTAGCTTGTATAATCTTTCAGATACACATTTTTTTTTTTTTTTTTTTTTTAATCTCAGCTTTATCTTGAATTTTGAAACACGTGGTCTTGTGACGATTGCAGCGCTTTTAGAAACCCTCTCTTAAGAGCATTGCGGAACCTATGTGGAAATAAAACGTTTCCGTGTAAAACGAAACTGGTCGTGAAGGCTGGGTGATAAAATTCATATATCGTTATTTTTCGCTGCTAATAACAAAACAAAAAAAAAAAAAAAAAAAAAAAAATCCGTTCTTCAACCGAGTTTGTACTAGTGATGTCTGTTGGTTCAGAGGAGATTGATATTTCCGTTGTCATGATTTTTATGGCATTATCTCATTGAACATGTCAGAGCCTTCATTAGAAGCACCATATTAATTGCGACAGAAATACATAAGGATATCAGTCTGCTATAAGCAATGGAAAAACAAGACGACGATAAATTTACATTTACCTGGACTATTGAAAACTTCAGCATGTGCCATCATTCGAAGGTAGAATGTCTTTTCAGCCCAGAATTCGCCCTGAATTCTTTACCTGGTATGAAATGGATTATACAGTTATATCCGAGGGGTGTTTTAGATGAAGACTGCATAATCTTCTTTCTCAGCAGAACTGATAATATTCTGGAAAACTGTAAAATAAGTTATAGATTCGAAGTGCTAGACTGCATCGAAAAATTGTTTTTTAGCCTTGATGAAGAAACTAGCATATTTGAATGCAAGCTCTTCTCAAATCCCCACTGTCTTCAAAGGAAACTTCCTTTTCCATCATTGGTAAATGACATTCTCATCATCAAGTGCACTTTGAAACCAGTATGTGAGCCTAACGAAGAAGCGGGTATGTTTCCAGTTCTTTACGAAAATCGATTGTTCACAGATGTCGTTTTACGGACGAATGACTCAGCTTTCAAAGTGCATAAAGGAATTTTGTACGCGAGGTGTTCTAAACTGGTGGAAACACTTGAAGCAAAAGGTGACTGCGATTGTTAATTATAATGTATTGCGTGAGTTTTTATTAGTTCTGGTTGTGACAAAAGCATTCGTCAGTTCTGATTCCTGATCATAGTGAATATGTGAATTAAAATTATCACGCGAGTTTTCGTTAATTCTGATTAGTTTTCAAAGAATGTCTAAAACAATGGGCTGCACTTATAATATTTTGTTGTGTTTTTCACTCCGTAAAATTATTATAATACATTTTTGAGTTTAAATGCGACGCTTTATTACTGTCTTAATTTTGATTTGCTACTGTACTGTTGCTACACCAAAACCACGAATCTGCACTGTTTACTATTTTCATTTTCCTGTAATTTTTGGGCTGTTTTCTGGTAGTTTGCACTATGCTATGAGGAGGGAAAAAACTTATTCTCTGAAATAGTACATGTATATTAACTACCAGTACCGATATTAGATCATCGGCCGCCCATGTGCAAATTAAAACTGGCCTTCCTTTTTCACAGAAATATGCCATGTTTGATAAACATTTCGCCGCCCTTTAATTTTTGCAGCCCACGTGCTGTGCACCACCTTGCCTCCCACTAGGACCAGCCCTGATGGAGTTCGGCTGGTGACTTGGTGTGTGTAGGACGTGTTTTTGAGCGCTCCGTTTTACCTCGTGCTAGCCTGCGCCATTTTCGCTGCCATCTTTGATGGTTTTGTGTTTTTTGGCTATTACCCATCTTTTTGTGCGATTTCATACTGGATTACAAGATTATTTGTGTTAGATGTGTATTTCTCGGATCTAGTGTAGTGCTTCGCTTGTGATTTTTGTGAATTTTAGAAGATTTCTTGTGTGTGGTGAAAGTGTTTTCTTCGACCCACATGGTGGGCAGTGACTTCCCGCCGCTACCGGACAAGGAAAAAATGGATGTGAAAACTGTTAGTGGAAAACTGTGTGACCTCGGCGCTGACATATTGGATTATGGAAACCGGATACTCGACCTGGACTGGCAGGAACTCTTTGCGAAGGAAACTTGGAACTACAATGATTTTTGTCGCGGAGTGGAGATGGTCGCAAAAATCAACACGGACCTCATTGCGCGGGGAGACTCGTGTAAGAATATTCTAAACCTGATGACTGACGAAGAGATTGTGACACGCATCCGAAAGAATCTGGACAAGGAGCAACTAATTGGAACATCGCTGAGATCCAGCCTAGAAGGTAAGTGCCAAAGTGCTGCTTCTGCCCTTGGTTGTGATTTAAATTCAGATAATGTAAAAAGTGCATGTAAAAAAGTGTTAATTAATAACCTGTATTCTATTGCAAATGATTTAAGTACATGTAATGATAATGTTAAGTCTAATGGTTCAAATGAGTGTAATCTGGCTGAGTCAACAAAACCTAGGCCAAAGCGCCCTTCGAAAAAATTTTCTAAGCGCTCAATTAATGATGATAGGGACGCAGATGGTTTCATTCTGCCGAAGACCACTGCGCGCCCTAGCAAAATAATAAAATGCAATGCCGATTTGCCACTGGCCAATAAATTCGAAAAATTAAGTACACAGGATTCAAATAACAAACCTGATGACGAAATTGACGATGTGGTTATGGAAAGTGTTGTCGTGAAAATTCCAAAACCCAAACCAATAATGGTGAAGCCGGATATTAAGTTCAACGAATTTATGAAGGTGTTGCGGGATAATGTTAAATGTGAATTTGCGGGCAAGGTGCAGGGGACTTCCTCAAAATCTTCCCGGAAACTGAAGATGACCATCGCACAATCACCAAGTTTCTTGATGAAAAGAAAGTCGACCATTATATCATACTCTCTAAGTTTGATAGGCCACTCAAAGTGGTCATCAGAGGCCTTCCAATTGATTGTGCTACGGAAGATGTGCATGAGGAATTAACCAAATTGGGTTACAAAGTACGTAAGGTGGCACAAATGCATAGGATTAGGACAAGAGTCCCCATGCCCTTGTTCCAAATTCACGTTGAACGTACCCCGGAAATTGAAAAAATTTATGATGTTACTAAATTCTTGAATTTTTATGTGAGTATTAAACCTTATAGAGTGAATGGGAGTGTTGTGCAATGTCATAATTGCCAGCACTTCCATCACTCATCTGAAAACTGCAAAGCTAAAGACCCCGAATGTGTTAAATGCGCTGGCACCCACAAAACTGAGGAGTGTGTCCAGCAAATTTATTAATGATGTTAAATGCTGTAACTGTGGGCAGGCAGGACATCCTGCGAATTATCGCGGATGCCCTAAATTCCCAGCTCCTCAGGGTGCCAGACCGCAAAATAAAAAAGAAGTACCGTTAAAGGAAAGTCATATCAAACCCGGAATTTCCTCTGCTAATGTTGTAAGCGAGAAAACTCCCCAGAGCACGGTTGAGGCTACTAAAAAAGAAAACATTGTACAAATGGCGATTAAATCCAATAAGCCAGTTAACACGAATGATGTGGGCCTGTCTGGCCTTTTTGAGATGTCCAAATTAATCAAAGATATAATTAATATGTTCAATGGAATCTCTTTTGTTAACGTTATACGCAAGATCACGAAAAAAATGCCTGAACTACAGGCTACTCAAAATACGGTAGATAAATTATTTATTCTGTTTGAACTATTTGAAGAGATTTTTGGATCTGTAAACACTGTAAATAATGTATAGTTTGAATTCTGTGTTAAACATAATTACATGGAACGCAAATGGATTATCTCATAGAATTCATGAGCTAAGAGATTTTATAAATGAGTACACTCCTGACGTTATGTTCCTACAAGAACACAAGCTTGGCCCAGCCATTCCTATCTACGTACCAAATTATGTTGTTCATAGATCGAACAGAGCTCCGGCAATCTCCCGCCCAAGAGGAGGTGGAACAGCGCTCCTGATTAAACGCTGCATCCCACATCTTCCAGTCACAATACCGCAGCTTTCGGTCGTGGAGGCCTCTGCAATTTCACTCACAACAAACACTTCCACAACATACATTCTTGTCTCCACTTACATTCCCCCAGGACGTCAAGTTTCTGCAGTCCTGGCTGACTTACAAATATTACTTAGTCTAGGTAAACACATTATCCTAGGTGGAGACTTAAATGCACGACACCGCGCGTGGAACTGCTATAATTCAAACGACACTGGACGTGTAATTTTCAACTTAGCCCACTCGGCTGGATTACACATAGCAGCTCCAAAAACCCCAACACGGTACACCACTAGGTCCACCGGGATCCTTGACTTCTTCCTGCTCGGAAATACCAGTGTTCCACTGGATATTTCCGTGCTGGACGAACTGTCATCGGATCACAATCCGGTTAAGATGATTCTGGACATTAGTAGGTATACCACAGCAGACACAAGAGCCTTTAAAACAGACTGGCATATTTTTGCCAAAGCTCTCAACAACATACACTATACACTCCCTACGATACAGACTGGGGATGACATTGATAGTTTTCATTCAGGAGCTCACAAAAATATCAAAGAAGCTCACGATGAAAAGCTAAAATTGAAATTACATAAAAGGAAGCATATGACAAGAAGCAGTGATGACTTCAGCACTCATCAAACAAGAGAAATGCTGCACGGAGGCTCTTCCAAAGGACCAGATGCCGAGAAGATAAAAACCTGTTCAATCGCCTTGCCAATGCAGTCAAGTCTCTTACACGCGCGCAAGCACAACAACGCTGGACCAGCTACCTTAACTCACTTTCCACAGATGATAACTCTCTGTGGAAAGCTGTTTCTAGGTATACAAAATGCTACAATAAAATTCCGCCCCTTAAAGGCCCCACGAGGATTCATTACACCGAAACTGAGAAAGCAGAACTGTTAGCAATGCAACTGGAATCTCAGTTTTGCACGAACAACATACATGATATTTCAACAGAAAACATTGTTTACTCATTTCATAACAATATCACAACAAATACAAACATAAACAACATCCCTCCGGTTATGCCTTCGGAGGTTCTTGACTGTGTCAATAAACTCAAGAATGAGGAAAAGCCCTGGTTTGGATGGGGTCACAAACTCCATGTTAAAGAAACTGCCACTTAAAGATCATATTCATCCTGGCGAAGATTTTCACAAGGATCATGCAATTGCAGCATTTCCCACAGGCCTGGAAAACGGCAAAGATTGTACCCATCCTTAAACCGGGGAAATCAGCATCTGATCCTACTGCTTACCGACCGATCAGTCTGCTCTCCTCCATGAGCAAGGTATACGAAGCTATGCTACTCACTAGAATAAATCATCACTTGGAGCAAAACAACATCTTAATCCCAAGCCAATTCGGTTTCCGGAAAGGCTTGGGAACCACTAATCAGCTCTACAGGGTAGTAGAGCTTATCTCTGATGGTCTACACATGAGGAGAGTAACTGGCGGTCTGTTTATTGACATAGCCAAGGCCTTTGATCGGGTCTGGCTGGAGGCACTAGTTTACAAAATACACAATCTGGGTTTCCCAGATTACATCACAAACATCACTAAATCCTACCTAACAGGTAGAAACTTTGTCGTTCACGTCTCAGGAACAAATTCTAATCTACACCCCATAAGGGCAGGGGTCCCTTTTAGGGCCCACCTACTTTAATATTTACGTGAACGACATCCCTACAACTCAGGACACAACACTGGCTATGTATGCTGACGACACAGCAATCCTCACACAAAGTGCATTTGCTGGTTCAGCTATCCAACATCTACAAAATTACATACATGCACTGGAGACTTGGCTCACACAATGGAAGATCAAGGTAAACATCGATAAAACGCAAGCCATCCTGTTTACCAGGAAAAAGAAATTCAAAAAAAACCTGGTTATGTACGGCAGTTCCATCCCCTGGGCCCAGCAAGTCCCTTATCTTGGGGGGTGATCCTCAATAAAACTCTGTCATGGAACCCCACACATCACAAATATTATTAATAAGTTTCGAGCCCGTAAAGCTCAACTCTTCCCCTTAATTGCTCGAAACAGTGTTTTGTCTATAGATAACAAGTTACTCATTTATAAATCCATTTTGCGTCCATT